GGGTTCAACTCCCGTGTAAAGTTTGGCCGCAGTTTCCCTCTCTTTAATTACATTTACTCTTTGTAGTGTAATTTGAGCACGATTCTCGGTGATGAGATGGCTAAATAATGGATTCCGTATTAATAGTCACCTTTTATGCAACAGATATGATAAAAATTCCATAACCGACAAATTTTTATGATCAAACATGAAGGAAAATTTCTAATCTGAGAATAGCAGTCATTTGTTTACTATTTTAGTAGTAGTTGTAGTTTTATTTGACTTCTCTTTCACATATATTTTGGAAGTGAATTTTAAGTTAATAAATTAAATATCAATGCATTAGAGCTAATATATTCACTGGAACTATAAGTTAAAAAATGATAATTTAGTAAAAAAAAGAAAAAAGTCTTAAATATATCTGAAAGGTCTCAGGTTTTAGCGGTCGCCCAAAAAGGTTTGTTAAGGCTTTCTACTCTCTCGCTGATCTTGCAGTCTACCAGTCTGGTCCGCGCACTCGCTCCTGCTAACCTTTTTTCCTTTCTATCATTATGACTGAGCATCGTTTTCTTCTCACTTACACTAACCCCACTCCACACTTACAACAAAATCATAAATTTATTAGCAGCAGCATATGTTTAGAGCTCCTGATGCAGTATTAAGTGCTAAAATTTCTTTTATTTTACTTTTTTTCAGTCTTTTCTCAGTTCATCATCATATTAATGTTTAGGTTTCCTCGTAAGATGGCTTTAAAAATTTTTTTGCCTTTTTATTATTAACATTTTTTGTTAACTTTATACAGTGAATATCACGTTCTTAAGGATAAAGCCAGATAACTTCAATTCAACAGCAAAATAACAAGAAGATGTTTAAAAGCGGTACATCAACAAAATCACAAAATTTTTAAAAGCCGCACAGTAGCGTATGTTTAGAATTCTCTTTGCAGTCTTAAGTGCTGGCATACATTTTTCCATTTTTGTCTTTTCTCAGTTCATCATCAGAGTTCAGTTTTCTTTACGAGCTGGCTTACAAAACTTTTTTTGTCTTTTTATTATTGTACTGGAGATAAAAATGTTTTATTCCACACAGTGTTGCCACTGCTCGCTTTCAAATCGTTGTGTTTGGTAATCAAAAATTCATTAAAGTTTTACAAAATATGAAATAAATAATAAAAAATCTAAATTTTCATTCTATGTAAATAAGTACATTGATCATACATTAAACGAATTTTTATTATTTAAACCAAATCGATTTAAAATTAAGAAACGAATATTCTTAAGAATTACATCTATTGCTTTCAAATAATTTAGTTTTTAATCCACTAGAGACGGATAAAAGATAAATATCTTACATGTTGCCGAATGGCAACAGACTCGTATGAAAAGAGATACAATGCATTAATAGTGTTCGACGTAAAATCCTATTTCGAGACTAAAAATTCCCATTTGAGACTCCTTTTGGTTTGCAAGTTCATCACTTTCGAGTAGTAGCTACGGTAATGTAACATATAGTAATGATTCTATATCCGTGGATAATAGATTCCGAGAATTAACGCGGTTACTTCAAACCGTGAATAACAGCGAATGCTGCGTAAAACAGGTCTTCCATATAACATATATAGCTACAGGTAAGTCATAAATTATGAAAATACGACTTTATCAATAATTAATGAACAACAATAAAGTAATCTAAACATTCATATATTGCAACTACTACTACATAAAGAAATCTAAAATGTAGTGTACACTATAACATACATTCTGTCATACTTGTTGAAGCAATTTTGACATTTTAACTTAATTCGTAAAGAAGTACGGAGGATGCAATCCTTGGACTGTAAAATACATCGTACTCTTTTAAATGATGGGGAAAATAAGAATCTTTCTTTTTCCGATCTGCCACTGATACAGAGCTAATAATTTCCTAGAGTTTGTAGCATCACTTCTATTGCATTTTCCTTCTCATAGTTTTTCGGTCCTTTTTGTGCCCTAAAACAGTGAGAAGGGAAATATAACCAAAGTGATACTACAACTTATCAGGTATTTTCTCCCTCCTTTCCGTATGCCTTCGTGCTGTAACAGTACCACATTTTTTTTTTAATTAAAAGAAACACAACAAGTTCCCCATGTACCACATAGTATCACATGGGGCTTACAGAAGTAAGTATGAAACACAATACAAAATAAACAGAAGAGAAAACTGAAATAAAATTAAGGATGATTACAAAGTTTTACAATGAATTGACAAAAAGTGTCAAAAGCACTTCTCTCGGAAATAAATTGGTAAACCTCTGGAGGACAGTTAATATTAAAATTTTTCAGACCCAGTTTTAAGACTTTTCTTTCGCTCTCATATTTAGGACATAGAAGAAGCACATGTTCAACATTCTCCTCGCCGCCGAGGCCACAGTCACATACAGACTCAGGACTCAAATCTGTTCAAATAACTTTTAAAATTCCCATGTCCAGTAAGAAACTGGGTTAATTTGTAATTTGTGAAGAAATGATGGCATGACAATCTCATTTTAATAGAAGGGTAAAATCTCCTAGTTAGACTCCCTTTATTTGAATTAATGAATTCGTGATTCCACGATTCCACAATGCCTTCATACATGACCTTCTTATAAAAGGAATTAAGGATATTGACAAAAGTGTCAATTTCTCGCTTAATCGCAGTCTTAGCAAGAAAATCGGCTAGTTCGTTCCCAACACCTGTATGACCACGAACAAAGGAAAATGAAACCGACATATTTTTATCCTTTAGATTTTTCAGTTCTTTTTGAATATCGATAATGATATTATTAGAAGAAGAAATACATTTTAAGATCTCCGAGGATGAAAGGGAATCAGTACAAATGAGATAGTCTGAAACAGCACTGTTTTGTTTAGAGATCCATTTGACGGCGAAGTTTAAGCACAAACGTTCAGCTATGAAAACGGTACATTCAACTCTGATTCTAAATTGAAAGTGCTCAAATTCAATACCGTTTTCGAAGACAACAAATGCGAGACCAACCTTGCCATCAATTTTGCTGCCATCAGTATAGCAAGTTACAGGCGAATCATCTACGATTTTATTGCTAAACTGAATAAAATTAACAGCATTTCTTTCTGAAGGATGAGGGAGATCAGATAGAGGTAAAATACAATCATACTGAGAGACAGTAGAAGCAGAAATATTTTCCTTATAAGCAATAGAATGAAGAATGGCAATGTCAATTGGAGGAAAGCCAGAAATTGCATAAACAGACTCATAGCTTACGGTACGATATCCACATATGACCCACAGAAGTATCCGCCTTTGAACACGTCGTAAATATCTATAATTTATCTTCTTCTTGAGCGATATACCCCAGACTCTTAGAGCCATACATAATGAAGGGTGCAATTCCTTGTTTATAGAATGAGCGAATGAACGTTGTAATTAATACCGTATGTGTTGCGTGCAATACGGCTTAATCCACGCCTGTAATTTATCACATTTCTCTGATACATAAGTTAAGTGTTGTTTCCAAGAAAATTTACAGTCAAGAAAACACCCCAAGATATTTCATTTGCTTTACCACAGTCAAAGGGGTGCCATCGAGAGATAACTGAAATGCATTGTGATAACAGATGTTTCGCTTTTCAATAATCATAACCCTGGTTTTATCAGGATTAAAATCTAATTTAAAACCTTTTGACCAGTCGGAGGCGAGATTTAAAGCCTCTTGTGCCTGTAAAAAAGTAGCAGAAAGGTCCCTACTCTGGAAGCAAAACAAAGACATCATCCGCAAAGGGCTATAGTATCACAACAAGCAAGATTTTCCAGTTTTAATAGGAAATCATTAATAATAATATTCCAAAACATAGGTCCTGAAACAGAGCCCTGAGGGCAACCCCTTTCAATGACGGATTGCAGAAGCTGAGCCCAACTGCAGTTTGGCCGCCCGATCATTTAAAAAGTCAGCAGCAAGTGAAAAAAATATTCATTGGAAGTTCCACTTTTTTGAGAAGATTGAGAATACAAGGCCACCACGCATAGTCGAAGGCGCCCTTAATATCCAAAAAGACCAAAATAGTGTGGAAATTTTTCTTTTTTCCTCTCTGAACAATTTCATTTAAGCGTAAAAGAGCGTCTTCAGAACTTTCTTGAGATGTAAAACCATACTGATTACCAGAAAGAAGATCTCCATGGTGGAGATACCAGCAAATTCTGTTGATAAAAAGTTTTTCCAAGCACTTATAAAACATATTCCTGATATTTTCCTGATGTTTTCCATACACCAAACCAGTCGATTAAGATCCTATACTCATTTCCTTTAGGAATAAGAATTACTTGAGCATGTTTCCAAATACGTGGGAAAATACCAACATTTAGGCAAACGTTAAAAAGGTTATGGAGAAATTGAGGAAACATTAAATGAAACTGTTTAATAATCTCATTCGAAATAGAGTCAGGACCAGGTGATTTATTTGGTTCCAGCATAGAAATAACTGTATTAACTTCATCACAAGAAAATATAGGATCAACAAAAGAAGAATAAGCAGTACGCGCAGCTTGACGGTATTCCTTATGCAAATCATCATCATTTTCCTCTAGATCCGAGGGGAAACATTTCTAAGCACAGCAGTAATTGTCTCTTCTAAAGAGTTGGTTGTCTCTCCAGTGGAAAGACAAATACCAGTTATTTCAATTTTTTTCATGAAATCTCTTTTAACTCCATACGTGTAAATCTTTTTCCATACATTGTGAACATCAATGGTCGAAAGAAATGTTTTCCAAGACTGAGATTTAGCATCGGCAAGCTTTAGATTGTAAACTTTTCTATATTCAAGATATTTACTTTTATAAAGTTCTCTAAGAGGCGGATTTTTACAACGCTGAAATCTACGCCTAGAGGCATCTCTGGCTGAGGCTCTTTCTCATACAAAAAATTTCGGCAGACCACCAAGGAACATTGTGCTTACCATGATTCCTAACAGGTATGGAAATTTGAGATGCCCGAAGAAGAACAAAACTAAAATTCTCAACAAGAGTATTTATGCGAGAACTGTCCGTACAGTCGTTAAGAATATCAATGAAACGGGTGATGCTAGAAGAACAAAATTTTCGAAAACGATCCCAATTTGCTTTCCCTGTATTGAAGATTTTAAAAGGAACATTTGAGGTGTCTCGTAAGAACGTAGAGAGACAAATTCAAATTCAATCATCATGTGATCAGAAAGGGATTCTTTTTCTGACAGCCGCCAACTCGAAACATCCTGAAGAAGTTCTGAACCAATAACAGTAACATCAATATAACTAGAACCTTGAGTTGCCTCAAACGTAGGTCCATAATCTTCATTAATAACAAATAGGTTGTTGGCAGAAATAAATTCACTCAGTTTATCTCCACGAGAGTCTGAATAGGGACTAAACCATAATTCAGATTTGCCATTAGAGTCCATACACCAAACCAGTCGATTAAGATTTCTGGACAAAAAGACTTGACTAATTTTATGAAGATCTAAGTCAATGTTTCTTGAGTGTTCAAAATAGTATGAAAAACGAGTGAGCACAGTTGAGCTAACAGTAATATCAAAGGTGACCATATTATAATCCGTATTTTTATAATCAAGAAATGTTGATAAATCACGTGATCGAATGATGATTGCCGCCTTTACATTGTCAGAATTAGGATCAAAATAAAGTTTATAAGTGCCAGGATATCCTGGAAGAAAATTCTTGTAATAATGAGGTTCCTGAACCAAAGCACAGTCAATATCTTCAGCTTCCATATTTAAAATTAGCTGTTGTGTCGCAGATTTGGATTTATGAAGATTTAACTGCACACACTTTAGAACGCGTCTAGCCAATCTAGCCATAATCAATTCGAGATTGAATGTTCTTTCTCATAAATTCATGACTAGGACAGCATTCTGAAAAGGGCTTGTGATTAACATTCACTTTTTATAGCTTTTATTTTTTTATGATTGAAGCGGATACAATTTATACAAGCTACAGCATTCCTATTCGAACAATCCTTTGCCTTATGTTCTCCAGAACAGTTAAAAACACAAAGTACCACATTCAATGCGTATTCGAGAAATCCAAGAAAAAGTCTTCGGAAAATGTCTCTAACCGAATACTGTAATTAAACCTCCCTGCCATTGAATTGGCTTATAGGCTTTAGCTTCGCTAGCCGAAATTGCTTCCTGAAATTTCGTCGATCGAAAAAAAGCTTAATCGGCGCATGTTTCTTTGTACATAATATTTTAATTTGACCTGAACGTTTATTCTGAATTTCCAGCAAGTAGCGGATTGCGTGTTCTATAATAATTTTTAGTTTTTTGGTACCGTCAACCCGACGTATTAATAAACAAGTTTATTTTAAGTTTTCTCCTGAGTTTGCATTTATTGCACTTGAGAAATAAAATCAGGATTGTAAGACGTCTATATGTCTTTACGTTTCCAAAAGTTGACATTCAAATAGTGTGGAACTGCTTAAGGTACATAAAATATATTTTCCTTTGAAGTTGGATATCTATTTGACAGACAGCTTTATAGCTTATGATATTTTTCTTAATATATTGTTTCTAATCGTTTTAAATAATGCATTAGAAACGAGCTGTATTTAAATGTAGTGGTTGGATATTTCGAGGGAAATCCCTATTATTATTCATTGCTATGCCTATTTTGATTTTATAAAGAAACATTATTTTTAAATACATGCTCTATTTATTATCAAAGATCAGGTTTTAATATTTCCTGATATTTTTAATAAATAAATTGTTTCTAACAAAAGCGTTTAACTACTTAGAAATTAATTATCTAAATATAATTGTAAACTCTTTAGTTTGTTTTATCGTATACCTGAAATCGCGTGAATAAAATTGCCACAATTTTGGTTTTGTAATGTTATTATACCATTATTCTGTTAGATAAATTTATGTTATGAACATCTCTAAAGCGGGGGAGTTTCATCCACTGGCAGGATCTTGAATATGAAAGATTAATACAGTCTGAAATTGCTCTGAATCATTATGCGTTATTCACGTTATTCAGCGAGTGTTGCCAGGGAGTCTTTAATTTATCTTTCTTGCGAGTTGGTAAATAGCAAATTTCTTGAGCATTGTTATTCGGCATGGCATAGCACCTTATAAGGTAATTTCTCCCTCCTTTCAGTAGACTATCATGGGGAAACTGGAAACGTACTCGACGAATTGGAAATTATACTACTATACTGTACTCGAATATTGGAAAGCTCCAAAATTCGAATCCCGGCGAGGGCATTGCACATTTTTCACCTGCCCTGCCTTTAAAAAAATAATAACTCTATAAGGTATTTCTCCTGCCTTCGTAGTGCAGTGTTCAGCGCGCTCGGCGCATATTCGAGAGGCCCGCGGTTCGAGTCCCTGCGAAGGCGTTGCTCATTTTTCATCTCCACTGCTTTCGAAATAGCCTAATGTCTCTAAAGTAGCACCTGAACTAAAAAAGGTGGTGGCTAATGATTCTTCACCCCCAGGATTCCCCTGGGTCCCCTAATTCCCAGCCGCCCTTTTAAAGGCGGATTATATAAGGTATTTCTTCCGCCTTCTTAGCATGCTTTCGTAGTGTAGTGGTCAGCACGCTTCACGTATTCGAGAGGCCAGTGGTTCGAATTTCGGGGAAGGCGTTGAGCATTTTTCATCTCTCCTGCTTCAAAATAACCTAATGTCTCTACAATTCTACATATGGCACCCGAACTACCCCTAATCCTCAGTCGCCCTTTAAAGCAGGCAGTATATAAGGTATTTTCTCGCACTCTTCCGCATGCCTTCATTGTGTAACTGGAAGGCAATCCGACGCGTATTTGAGTGCTCCAGATTTTAAAGGTTTTGCCCATTTTTCGCATCTCCTGCTTCAAAATAAACTGATGTCTCTAAAATCTTATTTGTATTTCAGTAAATGATATTTTACTAATAAGGATAAGATGAATGCTAACCATAAGAATGGATGAAAGGTTGCAGACAGGAGTTGTTGATGCGGGAAACAACGATAAAGCAAACATTTTTCTGATCATCAATAGCCCATGTTAACTCTTGATATATTGTTAAAAATTTCTGTTAAAATATTAATGCATGAAATCGTATTATTTCTTTTAAATGCTATTATAATATTATGCATACTTCTGATTTATTCATTTTTATTGCAGTTTATGCAATTCCTTTAGACTGTATTTTGCGCACATAAACATATGACCGCATATTTTGTATATAAGTTCTTATTTCTTAGTATTGTAGATCTAGTGACCCTGAATCGAACTAGCTTTAAAACTGTGAAAATAGCTCATCTAGAACCCTAGATAGAGCTGAAACTATCTTAATGAACCCTTGGCGCAACAATTTTTTGCGAAGATTCATTGAGAGAATTCGTAAATTTTTCCCCTGCAGCGTCGTTTGCAGGGGAAAGTTTTGAGGCAAGGCAAAGTTTGATTGCAGGGAAAAGTTTGATCACGTTTTGAGGATACGCGTTTTTAAATCTCTTTAGGAACCATTCTTACCGAAGCTTCCATAAGCCTGGGCAATACACTACATATGTGAGGCTCCGACTGCCAGTAAATAGTTAGTTAGTTTAAGTGATTTCAGAAATAAATTGTGATTTAAAAGATAGTTAGATAAATTGCGTTTTAGAGGTTACTCTGCAGAGACATTAGGTATTTTTTGGAAACAGGAAAGATGGAAAATAGCAAACGCCTTCGCCTGGAATCAAACCCAGGACCTCTGGAATACCGGCTCAGCGTGCAGAACCACTACACCACGAATGCACGCTAGGACGGTGGAAGAAATACTTTATATACTCCCCCTTTTAAAGGGCTAGTGGGAGGTTTTAGGGGATTCAATCGCCTAATTCTGGGTGTGGTGAGTCATCTTTTACAACCCTTTTAGTCGGGCGCCACTGCAGAGATATAAAGTATTTCTCCCACCTTCCTAGCGTGCCTTCGTGGTGTAGCTGTTCTGCACGCTGGGCCGGTATTCCAGAGGTCCGCGGTTCGATTCCCGGCGAAGGCGTTACTATTTTTTTCATCTTGCCTGCTTCCAAAAAATACCTGATGTCTCTACAACTCTATGAGGAAAATCGGTAATTCGCGATTATTTTTTTTTTTTTTTTTTATGTATGTTTCTTTGTTTCGGTTTGTTTTATTACGGCAAAGCACACGAGGGCTATCTGCTTAAGGAAAGATACCTCCGTGGAGGACCTTCTAAGGAAAACTTTGTTCGTATCCATGTCATACATGGGAAACCCCCCCCCCATGCAGAGAGTCCGTTCTCCTGAAACTGTACCCAGGTCGAACTACTAATGTTCAGCTATTTTACCTCTCGGTCGCAAGTCGGCGTTCGTGTGTTAAGGGAGATTTCCTAATTTCTACGTTCTGCTTGAATTATTTACTGTTATATTCGCTGTATGTTCTCATTAACTACAACAGAGTATTAATTTTTTTCTTATCTAGAATTATTTTTTAAGAGATATCCAGAAACCTGTAGCTTTCAGAACATTTATAACCATAAATAAGGGCACTTAATTCGTAAAGTTGAAGAAGTTCCTATAATCTGAGAATGAATAAGAAGATTGCACTGTGGAAATCCTCATGCGTATGCCTGGGCATATAAGTGGAAATATGCATATGCCTGGGAAGACCGTATCGAGAGTGTATGAATTACTAATATTTTTGTGACGTTATGGACTGCTTGTATTTCGAATTTTACAGTAAACAAAACTTTTGACCATTTCTCCTTGTCATTGACAATCGCAGATAATGAATCAGCGGACACGTTAACACTATCTTATAATTCTTACTTCATTCACAAAATTTTCTAATCAACATGAATACTTCTTGTTCTGCTTCTCTGGAAAATATTATCACTTCCATACTGTCATGAGAGATGCAATGTATTCATAATGGCTCTACTGATTTAAAATTTTCATTTAATTGATACATCATAAAAATCAACTGTAATTGGCATTTGAAGAGCAGCTACAAATATGATGTAAAAATTCATAGGTAAATTCTGAAGTTTCAGTTTTATGTATTTAAACTATCCTATTCAAGCATGCGTCTAGCAAAAACATATGAAATTATGCACACATGGACAGGAATTATGCACAGGAACACATATGTTGTTGAATAAAACACACAGATTGATTTTCGGTTATGCTGAATATCGGTTTTCCAAGAAAACATTCAAATACGAATATGAAATTTGTTTAATGTTTTTAAGATATCCCTTTACATAAAGTATGATTCTGAAACTCAAAATTCTGAGTTTTACTCTTCACATTAAAAGAACATTTATATGCGTAACGGATGCGAAAATAAAATTTATCTGAGTTTCGAATTAAGGTTTTCGATTTTATGATGGTAAAAAGCGCTCTGTATTTAATGGAAATGATACTTCAGATTTTGAGTCGATCATTCCATTCATTTCCAATCTAGCAATATATATTAGATATGATACAAGTGGTGCTTAAGAACAATCGAAATAGTGGGCACATATATTGACTTGCTATACAGAAAGACATAACGAAATGAAAAGTCAAATTGTACAGTCATGTCTAAATATCAGACTGTCTATAACTTATTTTTAAATTCTCCTAAAATTTTCCATAAATTACACGGAATTTTTAAGAAACGTCTACGCAAGAGGCTATGCATATATTAGTGTATGTGTTGTTCGTAATCATACAGATATCGATTTGTTTTAAAAATGAACTACAAAATTTATCTGACGGGTTTGAAAATGGTTGTTGTTTCTTATGGTTTTACTTGGAAATCAATCAAATTAGTACATCAGGCCACTCGCCAAAAAACAGGACATTAAATTCCAAATTGACATCAACAAAATAT